CATTATTCTCTGCAGACGCATTGTTTGTTGACATTTCCTCAATGTAATAATCAGCTGTTTATTGCCATGGTGTTGTAAACATGTAGCTTGAAGTGCAGGCACAAGACCGCCTGAGTCTCTGCTGGCTGGCAGAAGGCAAAAGAAAGTTGAACTATAGCGTTACTATTTACAACAAACACGCAAGAAAGAGGTTATTGCCGGCGCGTAAAGGCCACAACCAACATCCCTGAGATTTCTGAAACACAAATTAAATTATTGTCCAGTCTCTAATCTTTCAATTTCTTTTCAATTTTTTGTGGGTTAACCAATTACATGTTTAATTATTCCCACAAAACAACCCCCCCGAAAAGTGATTCTTGAAGTCTGATTGCAGCCATTTTACAAGTGGCAACCCTCAACTTTCTCGGGCAATTGGGACCATTTCTCATTGTGAAAGCTCAAAGACCCAGGGAGTTGATCCTGGCAATGAATTACTCAATCTAACCATGGGGGGGGGCATACAATCTTCTTTTTCGAAAGATACTCTGGGGACACTTCAAATGAATGCTGATGAGCTGGCCAGAAATTCTCACCTGAATTAGTGGACTGCATGCACCCTTAAGAGGACTATTGTGTCCCAATAAATCGTTCAAAGTACACCGGCTTGTTCTGGTTCTGACATCCATTAATTTAGCTGTATTCAAGCAATGCTTAACACATTATCATGATCCGCCGACAGCTGATTTAACGTTTTTCATGAAGATTTTCTCTCTTAGTAGAGGTATGTTATAGAGGTATGAGATTTTCCTTCTTTCGTTAGTGACGTATATTGTCCTGAAGTTGCAAACTAGATTTGAATTAGTGCAGGGATTGACCGTTATTTATCCGCCAACTCCAATTCTGTAGGTCTATCCAAACAGGCTTGTTTCTAAGTACCGAGCTGGGTGTTTTCGCTTCTGTCAAATATTTGTCATAAATAGACTCCTTTACTGGTTCGGTGAACAAAGTCACAAAAGTCTTGCAGCAGTTGTATTCTCTATATCTCTGGGCCCCATTATTTAGGTGGCGCTGATGACTGAAAATCTGCTCCGCATAGTTAGCTTGGTGATAAGTGAGCAAGACAATGTGCGAATGATTTGACCCCCGTACGTTATTATCACATAACTCAAGGTGGGCTGGATAATAATATAATATATTAATAATAAAATGAATTTAGCAAACGCCTTTTGTTGATTTAACCTGAGCTTGATTTACAACAAATACCAAGCTGGATCTTACGACAGATTCTTTGATGAAATTGGGATATCTTAAGCTATTCAACCACAGATGGTGGTTGCTGACCTTGCAAGCATTGTTCCATATCGATCAAGCATCCCACCTGGATGTCATGGCCAAAGTGAAGTCGCTCTTTGCATGTCGTCGCGCCTGGGGCATGTTGCAGACTTTGGGATCAGCAGGTTTGTTGCGATTTCCGATGTTTGGATCCAATCGTAACTCTTCGTGAATCATCAATTGATCGATTGATACTGGTTCAATTCTTCAAAATATAAAAATTCTCATAACTATTCCATCCAGAGACTGTACTGTTTGGTTTACACACGAAGAGGAAACTATGGCAATTCCACTGATGATAAATCAGGGCCACTCTCTTATTCCATTAAGTTGCAAGGATCCCACAAGCATCCCAACAAACTATAAAAAAAATATCGGTATAACCTTTCAACAAGTTAATCATTGGCGGCACGGGTGGCTGTTTGTGTTTGCACTGCGAAAGGTGCAGTAAGGAACGTGCCAAGAAGTGGTTGGTCGGTTAAGTAGTACTGTCGCTTCAGATGTGAAACATAAAAGGTCACGGCCCTGCTCGGTATCGATTTAATGTCATATTGCGAAAGGTTTCCTATGTTTATTAAAAGCTCACGGAACACCCCCCCCCTTTCATGCGCATTCATTTAAAATCGAATTATCTGCACTTCTGTAGCCTAGGTGCTTGAAATTTTTCCTCTCGAGTTTCAAGGCATCGGAGCCGGATTCTTTTAAGTAATCAAACAATCCAAACTTGACGCAAATCTTTAATGTTCTGTTATGATGCGTGTCTGTGCTTGCTCTTTATGGTTCACAAGTGTGACGTCACTTCAGTTTACACCATGCCCACTGCACATGCACTGCACATAGCGTTACATGCGTTGATCTCCGTATACGCGGAACCAGAGACACGGAAGTGGGCAAACGTATGGTCCGTCCTGTGAGAGCCTGCAATTCGCGTGGCGCGTCAGCGTGATAAGGAAGTCATGAATCGGATAGTATACAGCTTGGCGAGCTTGAGGGGAGTGCACTTTCTGTCGTCCCCGTGGGGCGCGCGTTGCGCGTGTGGCAGGAATTGACTGGGACCACAGAGTTAAACATAAATACCACAGCCCTAGCTTCTCCTCCTCCGCGGGAAGAAAATTTAACGCCACTCTGGGTGCAAACATTTTTGTGGTTGTAGAACATTTGAGATCAGATATAATTAATACATGTACTGAATTATGTACGTGTACTTGGTTTAGTTTTTGCTAACATAGAGTAAACGTCAATGTAAAACTATGTGTGTTGATTTTATACATGCATTATGCCTGTCATCATGTGTCATGTTCACTTATGGTAAGGATTCCAAATCATAAACCCGTATTCAATTTATATTTAATGCTGCAATGTACGTTTGACAATATGGCAATAAACGCCCATTGGATGTTGCGCTTTAAAAGCGCATTCAATGTTAGGGACTTCGTGAAGTCAGAAAAGAAGTTTCATAAAAATTTTTTAAATACAACCAATATTCAACGTCCATGCACGCTTTTCAACATGGCGCCAACGTCGATATGTTAAGTTTACTAGATGTTATGCTTCCACCGTGGATTTCAGAGCCAGCGTTCAACGTTAAAAAACAATCAAATTCAACCTTAATTTAACAATTTGTGCCCGCTGGGAATTAGTCTCTGGATAGCTGGGAAATCTACACGCAATTCTCAAGGGGTAAAACTGTGGGTAAGCAGAGTAAGACCTTACTGTACCGTGACCGGACACAGACTGTCGGTATGTGGTTTAGCGAGACACGTACGCTAATTAAGAAGTGGGGGTGTGGGTTGAATGTACGGGTCATATGTGTGACTAAAAGTGGGATCGACTCCGGGAAAGATTTGGGGGAAAATGACATTGGAAAGGTGCTACGGAGTAGCGGTTCAAGGGCATGTCGTAGTATAATGCATCTGGGTCGCGCGTGGTATGCAGTGTGCTGAGTACAATGCATGTAACGTGGATGGTCATGGCGCGCTTGCTGATGAGTGCGTGGTGTGTGTAATAAACATAGCGTGTACACCGTCATCTACAGGCATATAGGAGAACAGTCTGTAGGAAGATTGTATCTCCATTCGCTGCAAATGTGGAGGTGTGTTGAAGGTGTACTTAGCAAAAAAATCACCCTGGCAACACGATATTTAAACTTTTCAGTTCCAATTTGAATAAGGCCAGGTCATTGTGAAACACACAGAATATTCAAAAGCTTTTTACTTGCCTTGCACTGCCAATGATGTCATTATGATATCAAGGTTTATACTGATGCCAAATTTAAGTTCTCGCACATTACGGTGTTGAAGAAAAGCAATGGAGAATTATTGTGTCCAACAGTACGAGGGTGCCAGACCGAAGCAACAGATATAAATACATGTACTGCTATCATATACCAAATTATACTCTCCTTTTAACGCCATATGGGGGAAATGGGCTTAGTTAACTTCCTGCAGTCTTTAGCCGCCCCAAATGGTAGGCAACAAAGAAGAGGTCTCGGTTCAGGGGGTGATCAGGTTTATTCTAATTGACTACTTCTCATAAAACGAACATAGTCGGCCCACAAGGAGTTTTACTTCAAGATTGATTCAAGCACGGGTTCCTTCGAGTACATACGGAAAGGGTAGGCCTAATGTGTTTTGAGCAGTGAGCCTACCTTGTCCAAATAACGAACAGCGAGCTTAGACCGGTGTAGCGTCGGTGGTCAAAGTGCTTGTCAAGCTAACATAATGCCTGGCCGTTTAGGAAATCCGGATTTTCCCAGTGGCAAGAAGGATTAGCAACGCTATAAATGAAGACTGGAAACGAACCCGCAGCGTTCCTCTTCCGAGACATATGGCACACAAGTTGCTGACTATAACTGTATGTCAAGATCACACCTCACTTGGAATGAATTCCGTACACAAAAAAGCTAGTAAGCAATACAGCGGTGTGTAATCAAGCCAATAACCCGCACGTGCCATTTATTTTGGTGGTGCACGGGTGCCGTGTAGTGCTCGAATGAAACATTGCATATCTACGTCCTTGCCTTGTCGAACGATTTTTCTTGTCGCTTATTAGTGCATCGATTGGGGCTTGAGTGCTAGTAACTGTGGACTGGTAATATAGTGAGTATGAAATCGGTCTGGGCAAGGTGCAGAGTAATACATTAAAATATGATGGGTCACCACTTTCGCTTCCATATTTTACGTCATGGAGTTAGAGAAGCCACGATACCGGCGAATGCTGCGGATGGTAATGACAGATTGCTCTTATTTTAGCTGAGATGTAAAAGAAACATTTTAAAAAGTCACCCAGAGCTGTAGGTTACATCATGGTTACATCATGGTTACATCATGGTTATATCAACCATACTTTAATTGATCACCATCCACCATGCTATCCGATGTGCTCCAGGCTAAGAAATGAATGCATAACTATCACAATAATGCGTATCAAAGCAGAGTTCTAGACTCCAATCAATTCACTTGGACTCTTGTCGCTATTTTTGTTACCCGTGACTTAGTTCTTAATTTCTGACCTGACTTGAACTTGCAAAAAATCAGGGTTATGAGTAAGAAACCTGTTGATGAGCCGTCGTCTCATTTCAACCCCTTTGTCACTGTTTCCACCGGCTCCACACTTCTTCTAAAAATAGAAGATAGATTAATTGGAGATGGAAACGGTGCATGTCAGAATCCCCAATGACTAGTTGCATGAATGCATCTTGTAATATTCATTTTGCTCCATCCTGCTTGTCGATTCGCAGGTGATTTTTTTTGCTTTATCTAGTATTCCCAAATAAACTAGATGTATCAATTACGGGGAAATTAGCATCGACAAAGTCGACAGCTGGTTGTCTCTACATGTATAAACCGTACATATATGCCAACTGTTTAACAAATAGAGAGACTTCCTAGTGATTTTTTTAATTTCGAATTATCGCAGTACTTTTTAGTAATTCAGACAGTGGTTAAAGGAGTATTGTTTCCTTGAAAAACAAGGAGCGACATGGATGTATTATTTCGCGTGAATGAAAAAATATCTACGTTCATCGTGTCGTGTTCTTCTGTTATCAACTGAAAGGTTCCCCTGCATTTTCACGAGCTTGTAAACACACGATTGTGGGATAGTTAATGAACCTGGAGCTGCCGTGTGGTGAATGTAACTCGTCCAAGATGTTAGCAAGCAACAAAGAGCACTTCTTTCATGGATATATCGAAGAATGTCGAGCCTCGTCTATAAGTATAAGAACTGCCAGTGCCGACCTCCGAAGTATAGTTTTACTGGTTATCCTGGTGCGGTAGTGAAACAAGTTGTTATTTTCCAGCAGTGGGGTGCATGTATATACAATCCCCCAAATCTCTTTTACACGCATATGCCCCAGGTCCGATCAACTTGAAGTACTGCGGAGTACGAAAGATACAGTACCGTAACAGCGTGAGAGTTTGTTTGTCTGTGATGGCATAAACAGCGATATCGTCACTCGTCAGGGAAGACCACCAGTTTCCCATGCGGAATGCCACTGATTCGTGTGCAGCATTTACGCCAGGGTTTCTACACTATGGCTCATTTGACGTTGTTTCTGAGGCCGTCTGGTAGGTCCGTGAATCAAACGCTGTATCTTCCTGCTGAGGTACGAGAAAATCTCCGCCAAAGTGATGAAACTCGCTCCAAGGAAAAGTCCCAGTTGGCCGCCAATGTCACCTGAAAGGGAAACCCAAAATTCTTTATAAGGTACAGTGGTATTGGAACATTCCGTGGCCAATATGATGCGCGTCTGTGGTCATTCCGGGGGAACATTAGCCGTGCACTAGGTCTGCTCCCGGTCAAATTAAACGGCTCGCACACAAGCTTCTCAACTGACTTTGCCGTTTCAAAGAAAGAGCTAGCTCATTCCATATGGACGTAACTGGTACCTTGTTACATGACCACAGTACGTACGGAAATGTATTCACTATTCAACGCAAGACTGTTATACATTCCTTGCCGTTTACCAAACTGCAGCTTCCTTTGAATTAAAAGCTTTGGGTCAGATTGCCCTCAAGAATCTTTCTGTCACGTTTTTATTGAATAGTTACCAGCTACTCCCTTGTGATCTCACACATAACACACATAAAGCGTGAGGACTTCACCATATAAGATTAGGGTGATTATAAATGAAAGGTGTAGATGCCTATAAACGTTCGTCTGAAGACAAAACCGAGGTTTCAGACAAAGCTTCTAACCCAAAGCTTACGATCTCATTAGCAGTCGTGTGGTAGCGCAGTGTTGTAATCGAGTCGATTATAAGTCCATCAGAAAAGTCCATCACAAGTCCCTCACAGGTCATCCAGTCTTAGGCCAAGTCAAAAGCGATTCAAATTCTGAGAAAAGCATTCATTTGTCATTGCCCAATCTGTTATTCATGACTTGTTTTATGACAGGACTTGGGACTTGACATGTGAAGGGACATTTGATTGACTCATCCACAGCACTGTCGCACACATTACCAGCACACTGTCGTAAAATTTGGTACCTTAATCCTGCCCTAACTTACTCTTAATAATGGGTTTTGCGGTTTTTGTCAAAAAGAGAGCTGGGGGGGGGTTGCAGGCTTCCACGGGCAGTAGCTCACGTTATTAGCGGTCAGGTAATCGCCATAGTTGATTGGTAAACAAAGTGAAATGGGTGTAGCAACAGTGACCGGTCAACACAGAATGTTGTAAAGTCACCTCCATAGTATTGACACAGCATTTCCTGGGGCGGGCCTTAGACTATGTTGGAAAGTACTGTTGCCAATAATTTATTTTTCTCATTTACACCAATCCTGAGGGGGTAGGTTATGTATCTCCCCACCTTTGGTGGTGGGATGATGGGCCGTGGAATCATCCCACACCCTTTTTGTGATAAGCAAAAAAGTTGATTTGTAAAATGATTTTAATGTGCTATTCTGAGTTTGACGATTTTATGTACAATGTTTATCATGAACACTGCCCCCATAGTACATGGTGTAGTATCGATTTTTAAAATATACTCTTTTCAAGACATGGTCACTTTTCCTGTATAAACTTCTTTCCCTGTTCTCTTTTGCAGCCGTTTCATAGCACACATCAACAATCATACTGATACAAGACCGGATTCACTAATTAGCATTGGATGAATGGTCGATGATACAATCGTGCCTGGCATTAATTTTGTTCATTAATTGCAAAACACGTTTCTTGTGTTGGTGGGTTGTACATGTGATAAATTATTATCAAAAAATACTACGCAAAGAGAAA